TGGAAAATTCTGGAAGTATTTTTAGCAAGGAAGTGACTTGACAGTACAGGACTGTGGGAGGGAGAGGACCATGTGGAAGGAGATTGAAGTGGTTCGAGTGCAGGGGCCATGGTCTCAACTAAGACATGTTAAAGAGAAAGGCACTATGTGATTGCAGATTAGATGTGTGTGTATGTGGTATTTTTTTTTTTAAAGTGGAATTTTTAAAAGATGAAAATGAAACACCTTAGAGAGAAGTAAATATTGTCTACTGATGATGCTCATGCTTGTTTATTTAGAAATTGTGTGTGACTAAAAATTAGTTTGTAACATTGTTCAACGTGAAAGGATATGGAAAACAAGGCAGATTTTAATTAATTAAAAATGGAATTTGGAAACCATTTTGAAAAACAAAAACTGTCTAGGAACATAAGGTTGAGATACTTATGACAACTGAAAACTAAACTTAATTGAAATTTTCTTAGTGCCCAAAGAAAAAATATATATATACTGATGGACCAAGTTTTCCAGAAAAGTAACTACCCATTATGGTTACTTTGTGAAGCAGTTGGAGAACTTCTCTTTGAAATACTTTACTATTGCATTTAGATCTGGCTACGAACTTCATTCTGCTCTTCTTTCTGTAATAACATCAAATAGCATTTAGCCAAGGTGTCTATAGGTTACATGCATGTAGAGTCTAAAGAACAATGTTGGTTTAGATGATTTTCTCCTGTTATTAAGATAACTGACTCTAAGAAGGGCAACCCACCACAATCCCCTCCCCACTCTAGCTTCTAGCAATAAGCTAAGAAGGGCCAGGAATGGGCCACCCAATTTCACTTCTCTGAGCAGCTAACTCCGCTTACAGTTGCGTGTATAGGGCCCTATAGACCACAGATGGCCAAAAAAGGTGAACAGAAATGAAAATGTGAGAAATTACTTGGGGAAATAATCCAATGCTGCTTAAAAATATTTACGTTGATGTGGCCTCAGGAATTGCAGGTTCTCTTGGTGATAATAACAAAATAGTTCCTCTGACAGCTCAGATCCTGGTATAACTGAAGCACGTTTGGATTTTGCCTCTGCTGCTTATACACTGTGTGACCTTGGGAAAGTTCCTTAAACTTGCTAAATCCCATTTCCTCATCTATAAAACCTGAAAAATAATATTACCTACCTCAGAGAGTTACTCTTGGGATTAAATGTGATAATTTAAGTAAACTGTTTAACAGAGCACTTCACACCTAGTAAACAGTCAATAAATAACTGTTTCTATGATGGCTAACTGGATGTTTGATAAAGTATATGATCAGGTCTGTCACTGAGTCATCTCTACTACATTGGATTGACCATTTATGAATTTAGACCAAAAAATATTACAGAGAAGCAAAATGTAAAAGTTTATAACGAAGTTAAATCTTCATATAGAAAAACTTACTCTATATTTGTCTAAGCGCCAGAGGAGGTGGGCGGGGAGTAAGGTGGAGAGTGATTCCCACCTGAAGGCGCTTCTCTCTGCCACTGAAAGGGAAGGTATCTACTGAGACTAACAGGGAGACTGGGGAAGACTCTTTAGGGAAGATTTATGCTTTTTTAATTTCCCAGTTGAGTATTTTTCCCCTATTCATAGATTCTGCTTAGAAAGTGGAAGATTTAAGCTGCTGAAATGAAATTTAATGAGTCAATTTAATCTATTAAGAGGCTCTACTGATGGTGCAAACTCAGAATGAAGTTGTTCAAGTCATGAGCACATGGCTGCTTTCAGGATTCGACACTGGGTCCTCGGGGCTCTGGGAGCAGCCCTTGCTGTGACCGTGACCGAAGCAGCCTTGGAGCAGGGAGCACGTCACACAGGGAAACAATGCACAGTGTCTCCTGAAGATGGACAGAGTGAAAAAAACAGAGACGGAAAAAATATACAATTCCACAATTCCAGTGGTTAACAAAGCATCAGTAAATCATTCAATACTACTCATTTAAACCTAAATTTAAAGGTGATAGTATGAGAATTATGCAACTTTTCTATAATTTACAAACACCATCCCCTTGTTTGGAAATAATTATTTAAAACGATGACTTTGGATCAGAGGTCATGTTCACACATGGTCACACACTCGGTACTTTAATTGCAAACCTATGGGGACTTGTCGGCCTCCTGCTCTTTTGTAAAGTAAGACAATGTGAAAGGTATCCTAGGAACAGAGTTTCTCTCCATATTGCAATCCAAGCCACCACTGAGAGTAGGCTAAAAGGGTTCATGTTTCTGCTGAAAACCACTGAAGGTTGTCAGATTAAATTTAAGACACTTGTTTAAATTTGAATTTCAGATAAATACAATAATTAATTTAGTATAAATATGCCCCATATATTTTGTGGGACACGCCTGTAATAAAATATATATTTGTTCTTTATCTTAAACTCAAATTCAAATGGGCATCTCATATCTTTATTTGCTAAATATGGTTACCCTAAAACCATCATTGCTCACAGACTGGGTTTCATGAATATACATCCGTTGTGAAGTGTTTGGCCAAAGCACCAGTACTAACACCTAACTGAATATTCTTCTGAAAGAAAAATGCAACATTTTAATTATCTCCCTAATAGAGGAACAATCGCGGCGACATTCCAATACAAAACATTCCACTCTGAGTAAAACACTGAATCAGAATATTTTGGATTCCTAGTTTGTTTCTGAAGTTATTAGCAGTATTTGTTTAGACCACCTCCAACCTGAGATACTCAAGGAAATAGATTACATCAAAGGGAGAATTCACAGCACAAACAATGGCGAACACAATGACCTATGCAGATATTATGCTCCGCTACAACTCAAGCCACTGTCATTTATTAGGAGGAAGATGCATTCCTTCTGTTTGCCTGCCTTTCCACTGAGTAACATGCTGTTTTAAAGTGAGATTGCTCGAGTTTGTGTTTTGCTTTCTCTTCCTTGCCTCTCCTCACCAACACACAGGGAGTCATAGAGCTGGGGAACTTAGACTTGCTGGGATACATTTGTTTTGAATACATATTCTAGGGCCTGAAAGGAATATGCCCTCAAGACATTGCAAATGCAGGGAATCCTGTTTACACCTAGAGGTCCTATGGCCTGGCCCGACATCTCTGCTAGTATCATGTGAGCAGGCAGGGCTTTCCCCTTCCTAAATGATAACATGTGAAGTTTGTTTTCCTGCATTCTTCATTTTCGTCATTCACATGCTCCTTCTTTCTTTTGGTTTGATGGAGATCCTTTCTTTTGGTATGATGGGGTTTTGAGTTACTTCCCTTGACACCCACCCTCCCCCAAACCGAAGCTTCACCTTCCTCTCCAGGCTCAACACATGCTCTCAGAAAGGGATACAACAGCCCCTTCACTCAAAGGTGCAAGCACTCGATAAAGCTTAAAATGGTGGTTTATGTTCATACGTTTCCCTAACAGGCCTCACAAAAGAAAGAAACTACTTCAGAAGAAGGCCCCTGTTACAGGTGGAGGGTTGGGAGAAATGGCAGGAAGGAAAAGTCTTCCAAGAGTCTGTAGTCTCTCTCCATACAATACTGGGTGAAACCAAAGAGATGCTTTGAGTGAAGACGGATGTCCAGATGCTTCTATTTTTGACCTGATCTATTGCTATTTAATTGGCCATATTATGGCTGAGGGATGAAATGCCTGGTGACTAGGTAGCTACTTCTGATACTCAACCTCTATATACACCCGATGATGACAGCAGGTACCAGAGGGGCTTTAGACGGTCAAGCACCCATGCACGCAGGACGTCCTGAGATGCACACAATTACTCTTAGGGTCACAGAGCCAGAGGGGGAAAAAAAAACCCTTTTGATTTACAAAGGAGGAAATTGAGATCCAGAAACAATAAGTGACTTGTCCGAAATCATACAACTAGTTAGTGACAGAAACGCAAATAAAATACAGATTTCCGCATTTCCATGTTTAGTTCTCATTTTAAAGACTAACCTATCTCATGCCTACTTAAAAGTTTACTAAAAAGCACAGCTTGCTAAAAAATGATTTTTAAAATAGTAAGGATATGTAAAACAAAATATTTTTCATGGAAATGAAGTGAAAGCCTTTCGAATAATATTTTAGGTTGGTCAGAAATACAACTACTTTAGCCATGGCATTTCATTACAGATAATTTTACAATTAAAAGTTATCTTTGCTCTGAATAAATAATAGCCAAGCTTTGCTAATATAGATTAGGGCCCAGGCAATTGGATCCGTATTTAAAGTAATGTCCAGATTTGTCATTAATTAAGTCGACATTATTACAAACACTTTTTTCTTTAATTTAGAAATGATTAAGAATAGCACGTTGCTTAGAGCTAAGGAAAGAAGAACAGGTATGCTGTCTCCTGATTACAGAGCCTAACTAGGAGACAGGACATGTGAGCCTAATTAGAAAATTTTGTAAAGCACTTTGAAGATGAAAAGAGCTGTAAAATCCCAAAGAATATTGATATTTCCAGGCTCATTCCCAGTTCTGTCATCAACTTGCTGCTTGGTCTTAAGAGAAAAAGAAAAAGCAATCACTAATCACTAACTTTGAACATAAGGATGCAAGAATATATTTTGCTCCAGCGTGCTTATTTTTTATTTTCAAGGTGAGTTTAACAAAAATACCAAATAGAGGTAGAATGATTTTGGTGCTTTAAAAATGTATTGTAGTAGGTTTTTACTACATATTCATTTTTCTGGAAAATTCCAGTTAAATTTCACCCCAATTTGAGAAGTAATGTGCTGAAGACACATCTGAAAGTCAATTTCCAAAGCAACTGTGTGGTCTCTGTTGTAATCCACGTGTGCTTGTTGGCATCCAGGTGAAGGGCACTTGAGGTTTTAACGTTTGAACAAAGACTTTGTGATAATTACTATTGGTTTTAGTCAAGAAGTGAAACAAAAATGTTTTAAAAAGAACTCTTCCAGTAAAAGGCCTTTCTTTCCTTAAAATTTCCAAAAGACTACAAATAATTTAAGTTCCTTTAAACTTTATAGACATCTCAAACACGTGAAGGCATTTTGAAATTTTCTTATGTCACTTACTCTTCCTAATGCCCTAAGTTATCAGGTCCGATATCCATACACAACAAAGAAAACCCACCTTCAGCTCTTCGGCAGATGACTTCCATTTTTTCAAAGACACAATCCAGAAATGAATGTGGAGCATTTCTTTTGGAAATATGTGTAGATGCTTTCTTTTGGAAATACTGTCTCAAGAGATCATATCCTATTGGTGGTGGGTCAATAGCATAGTGTATAAGGATCGTAACTTCTCTGCAAGTTGCAGCAGATATGCAAGACGTTTATCCTCTGGGACTGAAAAATTGCTTTGAAACTACAAGTGAAGAGCTACTTTTCAGAGACAAGCCTGCTCCTCAGTTTACAGTGCCCCTACCATGGGAATTGAGAGGTGTGGAGATTACATGCTGCACAGAAAGCAATTTTGCTTTCAGACCTGGTGTTCTCGCGTACTTTGACTAGAAGAATCCAAATGCACAAGTTGTAATCTTCCCAAGAGCAGTAGGTTGATATCAAAGACTCTTCAGTGAAGCAGGGAATTGTGGCAGTACTTCAAGGAGTGGGACTGCAATTAACTCTTACATACAGACTGAAGCAATGCCCTGCTTGGTTGCTGCAGGCTTTGCCTGTGCTTCAGAGGTGACTGAATCTAAAGCACAGTGCATGCAGAGATGATAAACTGCCAGGATGCAGAGCCTGCGGGCAGGGAGAAGAATTATGGAGCTGATGATAACAGGTATACATTGCAATGCTTTGGGAAATATTTTATACAAAATGATAAACCAAGGACTTTGCTTTCCAATGCTATTGACAGAAATAAAAATGGTTAAGGAACCCTCCTGGTGTTATTTTGTGTGTGTGTGTGTGTCTGTGTGTATGTGTGTGGAATGGGGAGAAAGAGCTAGAGAGGAATGTTCTGGTTACAGGGTGACTGTGTGAGGGGTGGGTAGGAAGATGTCAATAAACATTACCCCGTACAGACCTCTCCTAGACACTTTCCTTAGTACAAAGTGGCAATAGTGACAGAAGGTGGGGGACCATAGAGCATTAAGACACACGAGAAATTGAACTAAGGATAATATTGTCTAATAGGAAACACATTCCCACTGCTCTCAATTTCTTGGAGACAGGTGACAATAACAAAAATAGCATTATTCTCCCATGAAGAGATTCCACTTTGATAAAGAGAGCTTTCCCAAATTTGTGGCAGGGACCGAACCTATTCAGAAAGCAAATCTGATTGCATATGATCAACTCAAATCACTTTCTTACTTAGTAATAAATTAGAAAAGAAAATTGGTAGATATAAACAACTCTGTAATGTCATTGTTTCTCTCGTTCAACTTACAGTTTTCAACTAGGAAAACATCATCCAGTTCACTGTGTTTGTCTTGTGTCCCCTTTGTCTTCTGATGACTGGTCGAGAGTGAAAGATAAATACAGTGTAAAAGCTTTGAGGGTATTCCAACCTGGTGCCAGGACTGTAGCACTAGCCAATGGTTTTTTGATCATTTTCTGTGTCCAAGCTTCTGTTTCTGGTCTTAGTTGGGAATCCCAGGGAAGGAGACATTCTCTGTGGGAATGCATATCCGTGGATCTGCACGTGTAGTTGGGAGCAAATGACTCTGTGCAGCCATTTGGCTAACATATTTAGGAAAGTGAAAACAAAAATAAATCCAATCTAAAAGAAAAGTCATCTTGCATTCTTAATGGTGTGTAGGGGTAGTGAGCATGTTTTTCTAACCAGAAATTCGGTGGCATGGACAGTCAGAATAGATCATATGACTTAGGGACAGCATATTTTATGTTTTGAAAATCTTTTGAATTTGGAATCTGTGATCACTGAATGTGTGAAAAACTTATGGGATAATAAGTTGGACACTAAATAGTGTCCCATTTAGTTTTTTCCTGTTTCAAACTTATGGGATAATTTTATGAGAATGTTTTACTGCCAAAGCTGGAAAAACTGCCTCTTTCTCTCTGTCTGCTGGCTGCTTTTTGCAGTCCTGCAACGGCATCTCAATCACCTGCCTTCCCAGGGAACCCACTCTGCCTCCTATCTCAAGTTCATCATGAGACTGATTGTCCATTCCCTAGGGAGAGTATTCTGACCCTAGCTGTGTCTTTTGGGCTTAGGCTTGGCTCCACCATAACAGAAACCCAAGAATAGTGGATTAAATTACATCAAAGTTTATTTATTTCTCACTCAAGATAAGTCCAGAAGGAGCAATGGTGCAAATGCTTGGAAAGGAATAAGCATTCTATAGGATAGCATTTAAAACACTTAAAAAAATTAAAGAGAAGGTAAGCAGCTATTTGAAGGTATTGGAAAGAGACCAAAAGGAGGCAGAAACTGGAAGGGATTCAACCCTGGAAAGAAGGAAACCACGTTGTGATAGAACCACGTTTATAGAATATTTTCCACGAAGGCACTCTCCAGTCCCTAAGCTGTAGCATCTAAAGCTCAAACAAAACGTGCAGTTGATTTGAGATGTTTAGAGGACAGATTTCAGGACATTCATAATATCTGGAAGTGAAGAGAGGAAGTCTTAAATAGAAGGGAAACGGAGAGGAAAGGAGCTCCAAAATCTGTCTTAAAATACTCAACCAATTTTGGGCTGGCACTGTGCATTTAGGAAGGGAGTTCGAGAAGACCAATGGAGCACAGCTGGAAGGCTGAAAGAACTGAACAGAGATTTCAGCTCTTGCCCACCACAGGGGAGACTGAGTTTGGAATTTGAGGCCTGCCCAGTTAGAATGGCTTGGTAACACCTCAGGAACTCACTGGAATTCCAGAAGGGCTATGCCTTAGGAACAAACACTGTCTCAGTGCCAAGGGATTCATGTTTGAAGATGGGAAAAAACAATTCAGAGCTACAACAGCAAAGTAAAGCCATCTCCCTGCAAGTACATAGTGATCAGCCAGAAGTTTAACTGCCTGGTAGATCAAAAATCAACACTCTTCTGAGAAATCTACAGAGTCTCTATAATTCAGAGTTCTTAAAAAGTGTCATCTACTATTTCCAGTAAAAAGTTGAACTATCAGACTTGTAAAGAAACAGGGAAATACAATCAGGGAAAAGTCAGTCAAAAGAAATAGACTCAAGACTAAGATGTTGGTTTTAGGAGATAGGACTTACAAGGAATTAAAGGAAAAATGGTGATAATAGTAAACAGATGGGAATTCTCATAGAAACAAACACTGTAAAAAAAGAATAAAATGAAAATTCTAACAGTGAAAAGTACAGACTTTGGAATGAAAAATTCATTGGATGGGCTTAATAGCCCTAGGAAATTAATACAAGCCTCTGTACAATTGCTTCCATAGTCAAGATTTTAGGACTGAACAAGGGTCTGTGGCCTAGAAATCCATGGTCTTTCTACAACTGAAATGTTTTAGTTTTTTAATGCTAGCCAACCTGACTTTTTATTCATTTGAGCTATATGGTTTCATGCAACTTTCCTCACTAGACATGTTTCTGAATGATTGCATACAATATAAAATTGTATATTACATATTTTTAAAAAAACCTTTATTGACTTTCCATAACATTTAATAAATGGCTTTGGGTAGAAGAAAACTAATGTAACAGCTGTGGTTACAAGAATGTGACTACTGTGCTTGTCAGTGTACATCAAATTTTGCAAAACTTTCCAGTCAGTAGTCACAAGGAAATTTAAGGATATCTTCATATTGACTAGCTCAGTGTATTCATAAATAGAGTATAAAAATCAACCACTATAGAAGTATTAGGTTTTGACAGGCCAATTAAAACTTTCACACAAGCTGAATCTAAGAATATGGGAATTTGCTCATTTGAGTCAAATATTTAAAACCAGGCAGAGATAACTAATAACAACCTACTGTAGAGCACAGGGAACTCTACTCAATACACTGTAATGACATACATGGGAAAAGAATCTAAAAAAGAGTGGATATATGTATATGTATAACTGATTCACTTTGCTGTACACCTGGAACTAACACAACATTGTAAATCAACTGTACTCTAATAAAAGTTAATCTAAAAAATAAATTAAAAAAAAAAAAAAAACCAGGCAGGATAGGCATGGTGGGAAAAGGAAAGCATCTTTCTTGCAAGCATTTGCAGTATGGAATTTAAAACAATTTTTGGTTTGGATGTTTTCATGTAATGTTTGTAAGCAGGATAGTACTGGCTTTCTTCTGTTTTCAGGGATGTGCAAACTGAAGTCTGATCATTAAGCATCAGAGGACTCCTCAGTTTTGAAAATGTTATAAATGTAACTCTTTGTCTATATCAGTAATAGAGCAGGTTCAAAAAATAAAGAAAACAGTTTGAGTCCTTAATCACAGCACCAATATCATCTGGGTACTGAGATTAAAAACCAGGATAATCATTTCATCATTTGAACGAGAAATGAAACAGTGTGCATTCCAAAGAATGATGGGAGGGGATGTAAAATCACATGATTTAATGTCTTCATTGTTTCTAAAAACAGGAGAATTAATAACCTGTCCAGATCGTCTGACGCTTTTCATTTTAATTCCAGTTTTGTTAATAGCTAACTGCATAAACCTGAACAAAAACCTTAACCTTTATGTCCTTTTTTTTTTTTACCTTTATGTCCTTTTGTCTTCTCACGTAGAAAATGAATCAAGTAGATTCATGAGATTATTTCACAGTTCTTTCAATGTTCTGTGATTCCATGAATTTTCACAAAAACTAGTAATTTTACAAGGATGTTTTCTGGATAAGGGTTAGTGCACTCTATTTAATTTATGTAAAAAGTCGGTCAAGGAAGTTTCTAGAACCATTCAAAGCAATGAGGGTAGACTGGGTTCATTTTCCCCTCATGCCACTTGCTGCCTATAAATTCACAAAGCCTGAAGTGATTTGTTTCAGCACAAATATGGAGTAGATACTTAAAGTGATTGCTGAAGGTCCTCAGGCTATACAGAATTCAGGTTAAGTTTAACGCAAAAGAGCTCTGATTTTCATGCCTCACTTTCAGGCTTCTATTTCTTCTGTGTCTCTGTGGGAAAATCTTCAGTCAGAAGCACAGGTGAGACTGACATCTGGTAGGTTTGAAATGATGTGATTTTGAATCGGTGCTGATATGATATGGTTTATGGAATAGTGAGTGCCGAGTATACAAAATCTTAGGTTCTAATTCCAGCCATCACCAACACTGCAAACTTGGACTTTTATTTACTTATCTGTAAAGTGAGGGACATGAATTAACTAATCTTTAGGTCTCTTAAACGCTATAAAAGCTGTGCTCTGTTTCAGTTTGTCAGTTTGACAGTATTTCTGTGTTGCCATCTGAAATTTTAAAATCTGATCCAAATATTTAGTATTTTGTGAGCACCAAATAAAAGCATTCAGTAATAAAGGTGACAAAAGTAAGACAATATTCTGAAGGGTTTGGGATAGTTTCCCCTGACGTACAAATTTAGCAAGCAAAGTGAGCTCAGGGTAGAATTTACACCCTAATCAGCAACAACTAAGATGTTAGCATTAATGTTTCATGGGAAGTACTTGATTCCTACTTCAGCGAGATGATTTTTATCATGTTCATGAAATTTCTTTTCAAGGTGTGTACAAGTACATTATAACAGAACAGGCTGATTAATCTAGGAAACGAAAATACCCACTGGGATACAGGAAATTTTATACTTAATTTACATTAAAAATGACAGTAAAATTATTAAAATTACATTTTACACATTACCTTTTTGGAGGGTTCACAGTTTCATGGAGTGTTATACAAAAAATAAGCTCATTAAGAGTTAATAGGTTATATTTGGGTAATGTTGCAATGTCTTCCTTTTAAGCATTGGTTATGGAGTGCCATCTCAAATAAGTTGTTAACTTTCCTAAGTATGGAAACACAGATAGAAAATAAACCTCATTTCCTTTAAAGACATTGAGGCAGGATCTCTTTGAGCTGTTGTTGGTCATGGTATTTTAACTTCAAACCTTTGGCCTACCTTATGAGGAATGACTCACTTTGATGCAATGCAGGATCAATTGTGCCATTGCAAAATTAGGTTGTGATAGTTCATTCATGAGAAATCATTATGCAGTTGAGAAAATGTAATTTGCAAGTGAACAATTGTTTCTCGTTAGGTGAATATGAGTGTGTCTGAAGGTTGACTGGGATTTTCCATTTTACTACTTTGGCTTTTTCTGATATGTTCTTTTTATTCACCTTTAAAAAATAACTTGCCCATTTCAAGCTCCATTGTTCTATCTTGAATTAAGAAAAAAATTTTTTTTCTAAGTATCACGATGAACTAAGTGGTAGAAACGCTGGACTAGAAATTTCTCTTGCAGAATCTGAAAGATATCCTTACTCTGATACTTAAAATGGTATAACCTCACCAAAATATAGATAGTAGGCATAGTATTTATTGATTAGTTCATTGCCTCTATGACAAAAATATGCTATTTAAAAGTGAGGAAGATTTCCAATTCCTAGGATGAAGCGTTTTAGGACCCCTGACTTGTTCACTTTCTGGCTGAAAACAATTAAACATGCTGAAGAAATATTAAAATAATTTTTTTTTTCTTTTTCTTTTTTTAACATCTTTACTGGGGTATAATTGCTTTACAATGGTGTGTTAGTTTCTGCTTTATAACAAAGTGAATCAGTTATACACATACATATGTTCCCATATCTCTTCCCTCTTGCCTCTCCCTTCCTCCCACCCAATAATTTTTTTAAGTGTCTCAATAATTTGGCAAGAAAGTGCAGAACACTCCAGTCAAAAGATGAATACTGAAGATGGCATAAGTGAACTCAAACTTAAGTTTTTATGGTTATTTGGGGGCTTGAGAGACATCAGACAAAACCCAGGTCCCTTTCAATGGAGAAAGCTTAAAGTGAGCACTCCTAAAATTGGCACTCAAAGTACATACTCTCAAATTAATTAATTATATATAAACTTAACACTCCTCCCACCATGGGTCTGAAATGAAAAGTGGTGTATCAAACCTTGGACTAGGAACAAAAAAAATTCCTTAAGAATTCATTGCCACAGCCATCACTCACACCACAGGTTTGCAATGGAAATCCATACTAGTTAGTTGGTCCAACAAAACAAAACAAAACAAAACAACAAAACATCTTAAATGGTCTTGGGCTTATACTGTCCCAGTTTCCTCAGAGAAATAATTGCAAATCCTTTTTTCAGAAGCACACAACTTCATCTCAAGCCTCAAAGAATTTCACAGATCAATTCCAAGATGCATGAGCTCTATTTATAAAAATCATTTAAAAATTAAAAAAATCCAAAAAACAAGGAACCGTGAGAGGCAACAGCAAAACAGAGAAAAATTATATACAGAAATATGCCAGAAGTTGTAACTGTGAGAATTTCATGCTTCCATAATATAAACTAAACATATATAATATAATTAAAGAATCAAAAAAGAATTGGCACTCTTGGCACCAATTAGCATTAGTAAAAAGTTGGGTGTATAAAAAATGACAAAGCAGATTTTATAAAGATCTCAATAGAACTTCAATAAATAATAATATAATAATTGATATAAAAAACTGTCAGTATTTGACAGAAAATGATTTTACTAAAGAGAAAATTAGTGTAGAGGGAGTTAGAGTTGACGAAACTATCTAGAACGCAACACTGAGAAAGGGCAGAAAATCTGAAAGAGATATGCTAACATAAGCTTCAATAGGTATTCCAGAAGGGGAAAAGAGAGAGAGAGAGAGAGAGAGAGAGGGAGAGAGAGAACAAGCAAACTTGGTAGAGGCAACATCTGAAGTAGTAATGGTTGAAAATTTTCCAGAATTATTGAATGACACCACCTATAGAAGAATTCCAATTGTGTCAGGAACATCTTAATATATTCCCTGGACACTCTCAGCCTTGTCTGTCTCCTTGATGCTTAGCCCTTGCCTCTACTTCAAGCACTGGTACAGCTAATAGACACTGGGTGGACCTAGGTAGATCCATTGCCTGGATAGCCGATTACCTGCTTGGAAATACTAGCCCTTGCTTCTGGCTGACATTGCACAGCCAGACGGATCTTGAAACCTCTGGCTGTCTCTGAAACTTCTGACTTGTATCAACTACTACACTGTAGCAGGATGGGTGATCTGGCTTTTTAAGCTTCTTGTCAACGGGGCTGGATTATTTAAACTGTAAGTAGGGCAAACTTTGACCAATGGAATACAAGAAATAGGAGCAATCTGTACAATTATGCTTCCTCCTCTCTAAGGTACTGCTCTGAGGCACTTTTTTCCCCCACTAGCCGATCTGAGAAGTCCCGAGTCGTTGAGCAGACATACCTGCTGAACTATTGGCTGTGTCACATTGCAACACCATGTGAATCCTATGCCAGAATGGTGATGCATCACCTTGCATTGTTTCCCATCTTTCCCTGCCTCACCTTGTTTTCCCCTCACTCTTTCCATTCTGGGGTATTGTTTCCCAACTAAAGCATGACTACTTAATATGTGTTTCAGCTGAGGCTCTTTAACTAGTGCACTGGGGCAAAAATACCATGATTCCTAAGCAAGATTAAAACTTAAAAATACACCCAGACAGGGCTTCCCTGGTGGCGCAGTGGTTGAGAGTCCGCCTGCCGATGCAGGGGACGCGCGTTCGTGACCCGGTCCGGGAGGATCCCACGTGCCGCGGAGCGGCTGGGCCCGTGAGCCATGGCCACTGAGCCTGTGCATCCGGAGCCTGTGCTCCGCAACGGGAGAAGCCACAACGGTGAGAGGCCCACATACTACAAAACAAAAAGAAAAACAAAAATACACCCAGACACATCAAAGTTAAATTCCAGACACCAAGACAAAGAAAAAATATCTTAAAAGCAGCCAGAGACAAAAGATAGATTAGCTTTAGAGAAGTCACAATTGCAATAACAATTTCCTTCTCAAAAAAATTGAAGACCGAAGAAAGCATATTCAATGCTCAATGTTCTAAGAGTAAATAACTGAAAACTGAGAATATATTTCAAGAAAAATGGCAAACTAAAGCTTTTAAAGAAATACAAAGTGAGAGAGATTGACACAAACAAACCTACTAGAGAAAATTCCAGTTTATTTCTGGCAGAAGGAAAGTGATTCCAAGTAGAAGGTCTGTGATGAAAAAAGAAATAAAAAGCAAATAAATTGAGAATTACACACGTAAGTCTAGATAAATATTGACTTCTTAAAACAACAATACTAATGGCATAAAGAGTAAAAATAAGACATAAGACAGCACTGAAATACACAACAGCTCTATCATATGCACAAGGTATGTGAGAAATTGGAGAGAGTGTGGGTATTCAAAATTTTGGAAAGAAGGTAAAGATATTGATTAAATTTCTACTTGGACACCTTATGAACAGAGGAATACAGGTAAAAATGACTATACCTTTCTTGTCTGAAATCCATTAGCAAGAAAGTAGTAGTATAACTTCTTTAAAATGCTGAAATGAAAGAGTCAACCAAGAATTGTTTATCAAATAATTTTAAAATAATTATAATTAATTAATATTAAGTTAATATTTACAGATGCAACAAAAATATTTTCAGAAATACTGAGTTGAGAGAATTTGACACTAGCAGCTCCATACTTTAAGAAATGTTAAAATAAGTTCCTCAGGCAGAAGAAAAAGGATACTAGATGATAACATGAAGTTAAAAAAAGAAATAAATTGCACGGTAAATAATCAATCCTGGTTTCTTTCTGCTTAAAGTTTCTTCAATTCTTTTTATAGAAATCTCCATTCAAAAGGGGAGAAAATTACAGGAAAAAAGGAGTCACTGGTCCCAAGCAATTTTGAAATCCAACTGGGCAAACCCTATCAGATCCAAATCCCATTGGACTTCAAGGCCTGGGAATAACCTTTTGTGGTCTGAGGCTCTGCCTTCTGGGCCCACTGCTCCCCACTTGGAGTCATCTTACTTTTCTCATGAAAGATAGAACATGCTCAAAGCTGAGTAGTTTCATAAGCCTTCTTCCTGCATGTAGAATCTTGGGAATCTGATGGGTTTTTTTGGTTTTTTTTTTCCCTTTTGTCGTCTATCTGTCCCTTTCACAGCATGCCAGCAGAGTGTCTACTGATATATATTCTCAAAAACCTTGTGGGCCTCCTATGTGTGTCACAGGGATTTACTCTATCAGAGTAAAATAAAGGACAAAGAAATCATATTGGATAAAACAAGCAAGAATCAACTTATGTACTGGTTATAGGAAACAAACTTTAGATAAAAGGAAATGATACACTAAGACTAAAAGGATGGAAAAAATATACTATGCAAAAAGAAATCAAAGAAAATCTGAAATCACTATATTAATAGTAGACAATTTAGTATGCATTATGAGATATTCATGTTTATGCTCAGTAATGTACCTTTTCATGAGTCAAGAAGACATAATAATCCTAAGTATGTATATTATTAATAACTGAGTTTCAAAATACATGCTGAAAACCAAACACAAAGAGAAACATCTTAAAAGCATAAAGAGGAAAAAGACTTATTACCTTCAGGGGGGGAACAGTTATACTGATAGCTGACATTTCAACTTAAATGACTGAAGGCAGAAGTATATGGAATGAATACTTAACAAGATGAAACTAATAACTGCTAGCCTAGGATTCTACACTCAGTGTAAATATTTTTAAAAAATGAAGCAAGATAATCAAAAACATCATTTCCAGTAAACTTGCACTATATCTCTAACTCTGTATTTCTTCAGAAAAGAAAAAGATTCCCAATAAACATGAAAACCCAGCAGGATAAAAGTCAATATATGAAGAAATAAAACTGAATATTGACCATGCAAACAATAATTGTAAAGTCTTATTGAGTTCAGGAAATTTTTGACCAATCTCTGTCTTGTAAAAAGGTGCAAAAATCCTATAAAATTATTAGCTACTCGAATCAAGATTAGAATTTAAAACATAATACATCTAGTTGAGCCCATTTAGCAATAAAAGACTGGCTGAATATTAGAAAATCAATTCAGATGATTCATTTCATATAGCAGGGTGGTTTCTCACTCAATTTATGCTTACTTCTTCTTGGGTACTAAAGATTATATCCTATGTGGCTGAATTTTATCCAAGAGAATGTGAGAGGAACTGGTAAGTGCAAATTCCAAGTCTGGCCTATACCCCTCTCCCCACCCTCACAGGTGCTTCACCAAGTTCCTTACCTCTTCCTATGGATTGCAATCAGGATTACTGGCACCGGAATGACTTTAGAGGCCATGAACTGAAGTTTAAAGGGTCACTGTCAAATTGTCTCTAAATGGCTCTGTGGAGGAGAGAAGAGAATCTTGCAACCTAATTACCAGCCCTGACTGGAACTTCTATTGTGTTTGAACTATTATATATTTGGCTAATTAAGAATTAATATAGTAAAATTTACCATATTTACAGATTAAAGGGAAAAAAATCAAATGCATAGATAAAATTTCAAAAAGTTCAACATGCAGTATGATAAAACAAAACCAAAAATATTGATAAACACAAAAAGGAAAGTCATTTTCTTACTTTTATGAATGGTATATATATCCTCTCCCCTCAGTCCCCCCAAAACTAGAGCAAACTTCATGATAATATTGACCTAGAGAGCATAGTAATAAAAGAAAAAGAAATAATTGACGTAAGGTCTGAAAGGATGAAATAAAAATGGCATTGTTTTCCAAATTATAAAAAATTTAGTGGCTAGATCATTGGAATTATACAAGCCTTTATGGTGACTAGATACAAAATTAATATACAAAAATCAGTTGCATTTCAAACTCAATTAAATGCACTAAAACAAGCAAAAAGTATATTTGATACTTTTTCTAAGTCGTTTAGATATTAAACTAATCTAGGAATAAATATATAAAAGTATTTCTGAAATACTTTAAAAGACTCTATGAAAAAGACATTGTGAAAACAAAGTCTTAGAAGCCTGTATTCCACAAAAATTAATCTCAACACTCAAAGCAAACGTAATCAGTATCCCAACCAGTGCACCCAGGTGTGTGTGTTTATGTGAGTTTGACAAGCACATTCTAAAATAGATATGGGAGAGCACAGACAGGCCCAACAGCAGCACAAGAAATCCCAAAGAGGAACTGAAAGGTGGGAGTAATTTACCCCCTGGATATCAAGATTAATTACAAAGCTACTGTAATTAAGACTGTAGGATGTTAATTAAAGGATAGATTAATTTACCAACAGAACAAACTATAGAGCTCAGAGAGACACTCATTTAACATGGAAATTTGACTTATGACAAAGCTGTCATTATAGATCAGTGCAGACTGATAACTTTTTCGTTAAATGTGGCTGGGAGAATTGGTTATTACTACAAAAGAACCTAGTGGATCCTACCTCACGTTTCACAAAAATTAATTCTAGGGAATAAAGGACCAACATGTGAAAGGCAGAACTATAAAACTTTAACAAGAAAATATATTTGCATATATTTATGTCCTTGAGGTAGGAAAGGATTTATTAAACAAAATGCAAAAAGTGCAATCAATAAAAGAAAATAATGATAAATTTTAACATATAAAAAAGAGCATCTGTATCAAAAGTTAACAGAGATAGAATAAAAAGACAAGCCACCACACTGAAGACAATGTTTGCAACATGTAAAACAAAGGATTAGAATGTACAGATTACAAATTAACTAGGCAAAGTGATACAGTCATTAGAAAGATTGGACAAAAACTCCATCAGGCACCTCACACACACATAAAAAGAATAAAGTCAAGAATGGCTAATTCATATAAAGGGAAAAGCTCAACCCAATTAGTAATCAAAGCAATGAAGATGAAAACAAGTTAATTTAAATTAAAAAAATTTAAAAGTCAGACAATATCAAATCCTGATAAAGATGTAGATCACCAGAACACCTCTGACCTGTTTGTCAGCATATAAATTGACACAATTATTTTGGAAAATCTTTTGAGATAATTAATAAACTTGAATATAGTTATACTTTATGACCTAGCAACTCCATTCTGAGGTATATATACCTAAGAAAACATTTTTTTGATAAGTGCACCAAAAGACACCAACAAAAAGGTTTTTAGCAGAATTTTTTTTAATGGTAAATAACTGGAAACAGCTCAGATATCCACAGCAGTGGAACAGGAAAATAAACTAGAGTATATTCATACAATGGGATACTATATAGCAATAAAATTTGAAAAATTATACACACACATATATATAAAACAACATGAGTGAATCTCAGAAACAAACAAAAGAGCATGTCAAAGAAGAATGTCAAAAATCCTGTTAAGAGGAACACTTTCAATTTAACTAAACTTCTATAATATGCAAAACCCACTAATGTGGCTTTAGGGGATGTTGTTTCAAATGGTCTCCAAAATGACTGACAACACTAGAGCCATTTGGACCAATGGCATTTTGCCTCCATACTTTCTCTTTAATTTCCTAAGTTCTCCCTGAAACACAGATACATTTTAATTCATTCTGCCTCCTCTTGCCCCATATACAACCAATTATAACTGTAGCAGATATCCTCTATAAATTCCCAACGAAGCTCAGATGTGGAGAACATAGAATTATGTGAAGGAGTCCAAGTAATGCCTTTAGAATCAAGTTCACAGTTCTGGGATCTGAGATCAGAGTTTCTCAACCTTGGCACCATTGACATTTGTGCTGGGCTAATTCTTTGTTTGGAGGGACTATTCTGTGCAGGTAGAATATTTAGCAGCATTATTTCTGTCCTCTACCCAAAATACTAGCCTCCAGACACTGTTAAGTGTCCCCTGGCTGGTGGGGGATGGCAAAATTACCCATGGCTGAAAACCACTGTTTTAGGTGATACCTCTCACTGCTAACCCCTGCCAGCATATTATAGAAAATAATGAACATTCTTTGGAGCTTCTATAGGCATGTTTGGTGCCAGAAACAAAGGTGAGGGAGAGACCTGTATTAGCAAAGTTGTAACTTTTGCAGGATCCCAGGCCCTGGAGGTATCCAAGAAGCTGGACAGTCTTAGAAGTACTGCATAGACTTTTCTTTTGGTAAAGCCTGTCACCTGAGAGGAAAAGCTTCTTTGGTGCACCTTTAAGACATTCAGAGCTTACCTGTATTCCTAAGAAGTCAGACAGGTCACCAAACCTGCATGGAACAGGATTCAGTATTATGAATACTTTATCCCGCTCTCTTATTTTTTATATTTCTTATCATGAAAACCTCAAAACTGATGCTTCCCGATTCCAAATTCAAATTTCTCATTAACCTTAACAACCTCTAGAATAGTGTCTATTAGCTTTCTTTCTTCCCTTCCTCTCCCTCCCTCCTTCCCTCCCCTTTTCCTTCCCTCCCTCCCTTCCTTCCTATGAAATACTCTTGTAAACTGATATAGTATATATAGACCTCAATATATAAAAGAAAAGTTGAAGTAGCCAAAATCTCTCCTGGTTGGCTCCCCACAACTGATCTTGCAGTGGTCCCTGAAGTACCTTTGAAAAACATGTAGAGCCTTACGGTACTCACTTTGAAAACAGTGACATAGGAGAAGTGAAACCTCAGGAGAAATGAATATACGTATAAGGTCCACCCACATATTGAGAAATCTCAAGAATATTAAAAATGAATGAGAGACATAGGGTTCTGCTCAGTCAGGAAAATGGAGAACAAACAGGGAGAGTGGCAAATTTATTTACATACAGACATTAACCCAGTGGAAGCAGAATTTTCAATATTCTAGTATTTGATTTACATAACCTCTGATTCTTGGAATTAATCAGGGTGGGCTATTCATCGTAGAAAGTCAATACTGTGTTGTGGAAAGAGCTTAGCACCAAAAAACCTGGCTTGGCTTGAGTTAACCACTGTTGCATGCCCTAAGAAATTCAACCACCTGTCTTGACTTCCTCATCCCCAAACTGGGGCTAAGAGACATGCCTACCTATGAGAACAGGTTATAAAATTACATGAGGTGATATATATACACTTGAAAGTCATTTGTAAATTACTGTGCTAGAGAGTATACAGTAAAATAAATTTTGTCTAATTCTTATTTTATCTACTCTAGAAACTCTTAAGGAAGGCAGTGGTTGACTCTCTTTTTCTTGACTATGTATTAAAAATGAAAGTTTAAAGTTGTAATGTCTTTAACATTTATAAACTCCTCTTTCAGTACAGAGCACCAACCGAAGGGGAAAGCAGAGAGCTAAGTGTATTTTGCCATGACTGTAGCTCAGGTTTGAATCGAGCTCTTTTTCATTTTTAGCTACCGCACTCTCTGCCGTATCGTGACATGCCCGGGGTCCCTCTTTAGCTGGTGGAAACTGGCAGGGTTCTCTGAAAATGATCTATAAACCAATTGTGGCTGCTTTGAAACAAGGGCAACTGGTATCTTGGGCTTCATCTGTTCAGTACTTTAGACCTGGTCCTGATGTGACCGTTCAAGATTGGCTCTGGGCCTTCCGAATGTAAACGAATGTGCATAGGTGGCCTTGGGTCCTTAACTATACATGTTAATGCCATAAATGATGATTTTTTTGGTGACTAGATACACTGAAATTGAAAACAGCAGGAAGGGATAAACAAGATACATTTGCCTTTTTTTTTTTCCTTTGAGACCGAGAAGTTTTGAAATGCAAATGAAAAAGATTAAGGCAATGTTACAGGTTGAAATGGTAGAAATTTACTTTCCTAAGTCTTGGAATAGCTCTTCTTTAGGTAAGATGAATCTGATCTTTTCTTAAAATAAGGCTCAAGGGAATTTAGAACGATAGAAATATGCTTTAAAGAAAATTACTTCTCAGATAGAAACTTCGGTTTTCAAATGGTTTCTGATGAAGTTGTTGAAAGATCATATTCTCTTTTTTAAAGATGTGAGATTCAATGAATATTTCATTAAAGATTAGTAAATAGAACGTTGAATTTTTTCTGTTGAATTCTAATATTGTTTGTACTGTCAATCTAAATGTGTGAGAATGTTGCTGAGAAATTTATGAACCTCCAGATGCAATAGATATTATACAGAAGATATTTTTTCCTTCTCTATATACCAAATACATCAAATAATACCCGCTTTTGTGTTATCCATGCTCTGACAAACTGTGGTTGGTTAAGAATTACATTACCATGACCATTCTTACAAAAGCAAATGAAAAAAATGTCTATTTTCTATTTTTACTTAATTTTAAATATATTTTAAATAATTCTTTAACATAGAATAGAATAAAGAATTCTCTTATGGTATGAGGTTCAACTGTCAACTTTCATTTGAATTTAGGGAATAAGTCAATTTATGATATTCTTTTAAGCTGTGGCTCCAGCTTCAATTAAGTTAATGCTGTTACACTTTAAATTGACAAAAATAGCATCAAAAAAAGGGATGAAAACAGTATCTGATTTTTTTTTCCAATGTAACATTTCAAAGAATTGCAGTTGCCCCTCAGTATAATACCTGGTTTTTATTAATCCAAGCTAACAAAAAATAAATAAAGTAGGAATGGCACCATAAACATGCAAGATTTAAGTTCCTTTTAGTTTGCTTTAACCATTTAACTGTGAGGTCATCTAGGGGCCAAAGTCAGGAAATTCCTAACCAAATGCCTGCATAACATGCCTTAGTGTGATGCAATTTTGAAGCTATTTTGTCAACATTCATTGAAGATGAATTATATTGCTTTTAAAACAAGTATATCCTAACACTCACCTTCCCTATTTGTTATAAAATTAATATGAATAATTTTGTTTTGCTTTTTTCCATTATATTACTGTCTCATTCAAATTTCTCTTCACAACGTCATTCATTGAAAGGCAATTTTTCTGAAATGAGATTCAATGTATCGTAAGTTACGGTAGAATAACTTATCTCCTCTTTAGAGGCTGAAATCAGTCATCGTTATGATTTTTCCTGTCATTGACAGCATTCTTTTTTGGACTAAGCTTACTGTACATGTTTGTTTTCCCTTAAAGTCAGATATATTTGCAGAAATTTGAAAATGCTTTCTATTTCTCCAATTAATGAACAGATTCATCACCCACAGAAAGTCTAACTTTTCAGCAATTACACGTTAGCAACAATTTCCTTAATTATACAGTTTCTTTCATTCAATTGGATATAGAGTTCATTGCTTTCCTAATATTGGGAACGAATTTTTAAAGTCTCCTAAGTACATGATCTCAGTCTGTATAGAAGCTTTTTTGTACATAATTTCGCAGGATAAGATTCTAGCTTGGAAATTAGTGTGGTGAATTAAAAATCTTGGAGTGTTAGGGTTGGCGAGGTCTTTAAACATCATCTGGCACAAAAGTGGTAAACCCAATGCCAGATTAGGCAACTGTACGTGTGTGGGTGACTAGAGGTAAGACCGCAGCGAGGTCTCTGGGATTCTGATGCAGTGAGCACGTTTTCAATTCAACGAAACAGAGTATCTTTTCAGCCCACCAGCCACCAATCTGACACTTGGGATTCCCACCCAACCCGATCATTCATAATGTGAGGAAATTTGGGCTAGAGGAGAAAAACGGCTCCAAGGTCATACTATTTACTGAGTGCCCAATCTCAGATGTGTCTTCCTGCTCATAACTGATCTTCGTAAGGCAGAGTAAAGTGTTGAAGTCTCGTCACATGCACTCATTGCATGTTCATTAATTCTTGCCACGCTGCGTGGCTGCTGGAGGAGATGGAGCCTCTAATTATCTAAAATATAAAAAGGAATGAGGTAGAATGCATTGAGTCAATGAATGAAGTGGTCCTGAAGGTCTAGTGGGATTTCTTTCTTGAGAAATCAAGACATATTCTTAGTTTTCTCATTTTCGAATGTAGTCGTAAATATAAGCCATTTATTTACCCATTTAAATAAAAGGGATACCTAATTATTAAAACACAAAATGTTTCCAGAATGCTTTTAGAGGGAATGAGGCTGTTTTCTCCTATAAATCAGATGTGATATGTTGCACTAGGTAACATTTAGGAAATGTGAATTAATATACTATTTCCAGCACAAAAATTGCATGCACTTTTAGAAGCTCACAAAAATATGTAAAATATGTATTAAAACATCTATTGATTTTATGTTATTTCACTGAAGGTAACACCTTTTGTTACTGAAGTCTATAGATCTTACACAGACCATGCCTCAAGGATTGAGTTAAATCTGAAGTCTTAATAAAATAGTGCTTATATATAATTTTATGTTATGAAATGCACTCTCTATATACATACTCATATGAATCATTTAGTTGGGGGTACTGTTTTGCTTTTAAAAAATCACCCAAATTCTCAATTTAGGAAAATAAAATATCTAAAGGAAATGTCACAACTGTTAAATTTCTACAGAGGCTAAAAAATAAAAAAAAAAAAAGCTGTGATCACCTGGCAAGAAACGACTTAGAACACTCACTTTGATGAAACTTTATGAACCTGAAAGACTGGCTTCCTTACCTCAGTTTGCCTGTAAGTAAATCTCCGGGAATAAGACCAGAGATGAGGTTTTGTTGTAATTGATCCAAAGCTCTGATAAGTCATGAAACACAGTCTCTAAGCCACACATTCAAATTTGCATGCATAGCATAAGAGAAAGAAGACCATACTGTAGACTGACACTGTCCTTCACATGGTTGCACAGGCCAGAACGTGAATTATTCATAATTTCATAATTAAATTGAACTAAAAATTTATTTTCCTAAATTGAGAATTTGGGCAGACCAAGCCATTGAAGGAATTTAACTTCCTTTGCTGATGGAGGTGATGGTGACCTCATCACCTCCAGCAGGGGAAGCTGGACTGCTCTAAAAACAGCTGTTTCTAGGAGGAAAAAAAAACGACTTTTCAGTTACTGCGCAGTAGTTTCTTTTCTCGTATTTCTCTTTTGTACTTTTCGAAAAATAGAGACCTGAAAAGGGCTATGGGATTTCTGCAGTCTGTTTCACAAGAAAGTATAAGTCACAGGAAAACATAACGATTCATATTTATGAATAAGAATTGTGTTCACCTATCCCAGTTTTTACGTTGCAACTAAAAGGTACACACCACGGAAAGCAGATCTGTGAAATTCTTTATGTCGGTCTGAACATATACAGAACCTCTCAGAATCTGAGTAAAAATAGACTCTGTCTGTTCAAAGGAAGGGAATTTGTGATTTTTGCAAATATTC